TCAAGTGAATGAACACTCGTGTTCTTTCTTGTTAAAGCTTGTCTATCTTCTACCCGTACATGGGGGAGGGGGGAGGGAGGGGGAAATAGAAACGATTGTAACATTTTCAATCTAAAAAAGGCAACGGATACATTCATGTGGTGAGTCGTGGCTGCCAAGAGATGGCATTGAAAATATAAGCGAGCACTTCGAACACTGATGTGTTTTCAGAGGCAAGTACAATTATTTTCCACGTAGTCTCATCTTGACTTGGGCGTGTTGTGTCGAATGTGTAGTGCTGTTCTGCCAACCAGGTCGTCATGGTGGGCCTTCATTGACCTTCATTGACCTTACGTTGCGACAAATATCGTCTTCTTCGAAGGTGTGAAAGGGGATCGCAGTGAAGTCATCTGTTAGTCTACACATTCAAACGCCCCATCCGACTTCCGTCGTTTAAACCGCGTCGAGGCGCAATGTGCCGAAAAGCAGTCAAAGATGGACCCATTAATATCTAGTCCACCTTGAAGTCAGTAGTCCGCGCGAAAGTGACGGGCATCACTGAGGTTTCACATTGTGCCAAAAACTTTATGTACTGTGCGGTTTCAAGTCGTATAATGCCATAAGAGGCAAAAATCAGTCCTTACTGTCGCGCGTTCATTTCTGTTGTTCATGCCCGGATTTCCGCTGTAGATCCACGGCGCCTCTAGCATTTTTTCTTGCCGATTTCTCAACCTCTTGCTCTAAGACTGTACACCTCATTTCATATTCGTTGTCATTATGTGTCTCAATCTTATGTTTCATTTTGAGAGATGAAAGGCTTCCTCGTCTTTTGCTAGCACGGTGCTCCTTCATTCTAACACTTAGAACTTTTCCGGTCTCTCTTGTATACGTTACATCACAATTCAAGCACTCTAGTTGAGGAGCGATGCCCTCTTTTGCGTAGTCAACTAGTTTCCCATAAGGGTAGACGATACTGTCTTCTAATATACGTTCCACGTCATACAATCTATTCCTGATCCACCGCTTTTTGATATTATTACTAGGAGTGTGGTCAGTACTGTTTCATTATCTAGCTATGCTCGTGCAATAAATGTCAATGGAATGATGTCCTGTGATGATGATTGTAGTAATTATTGACGTGGCAATGATCGTGGTAGTGGTATAAGGCGCATATATATCATTCTCAAGTTGCTTTTGCAAAGCAACGAGGCTTTGCTTACAAAGCTTTGTAAAAGCAACGAGCGAATGGTATACGTGCCACCTGCGCTATCTATTGAGATTGTAAGCAAGGCAAAATAATACCCAGCAATTACTGCCAACGGGAAAACAATCATTGCCACTTTAATGATCACTACACTACATCATCACAGGACAATCATTCATCATTGACAATTATTGCACGAGCACAGCTAGAGAATGAAATAGTATTGGTCAACTTCCCTAGTAATAACATCAAAACCGGTTGATCAGGAATAGATTGTATGGCGTGGAACGTATATAGAAGACAGCATCGTCTACCCTCGTGGGAAACTAGGTGATTACGCAAAAGAGGGCATCCTCAACTAGAATGCTTGAATTGTGGTGTAACGTATACAAGAGAGACCGGAAGAACTCTAAGTGTTAGAATGAAGGAGCACATTGCTAACAAAAGACGAGGAAGCCTGTCATCTCTCAAAATGAAACGTACGCTTGAGGCACATAATGATAATGAATTTGAAGTGAAATGTACAGTCTCAGAGCAAGAGGTTGAGATATCGGCAAGAAAAATGCTAGAAGCGCCGTGGATCTACACTGGAAATCCAGGCATGAGCAACAAAAATGAACGCGCGACATTAGCGAGTGATTTTTGCCTTATATGGCATTATGCGACTCAAAACCGTGCAGTACATAAAGTCTTTGGCACAATGTGGAACCTCAGTGATGTCCGTCACTTCCGTGCGGGCTACTAACTTCAAGGTGGACTAGAGGTTACGGGTCGATCTTGGATTGCTTTTCGGCACATTGCACCTCGACGCGTCAAACGACGGTATTCGAATAATGCAACATTTCAAAATTCGAATGAACAAATATTCGATTAAATGGTATTGGTCGGATATTCGACTATTCAAACAGTCGAATAATTACATATGATCGAATGTTCGACTGTTTGGAATATTCGAATAGTCGAATATTTCGAGTAAATTATTTGAACATGAATATTCGATTTTGACTACTACACATTTGACACAACATGACCAGGTCAAGATGAGAGTACGTGGAAAATATTTGTACTTGCCTCTGAAAATACATCGATGTTCGAAGTGCTCGCTTATATTTTCAATGCCATCTCTTGGCAGCCACGACTCACCACATGAATGCATCCGTTGCCTTTTTTAGATTGAAATGTTGTTGTAATCGAATATCTAGGGAAGTGAAGTTTCGGTTATCCGGATAGTCGAATAAGTAAAAAGACCTTTATTCGAATATTTGTCCATTTGCGCAATTGAAAAATAATGTCTTATTCGAATATTCGAATATTTGGGGATTTTGAAAGACAGTTATTCAAATATTCGAATATTCGAAAAACTTTGCAAAACAGTTGTTCGAATATTCGAATATTCGAGCAAGAGAAAAGTACACATTTGGATATTGAAAGTTAAAATGTATATTCGCATGTTCCATGTGCGAGCTTTCTAGCTTGTTCGAATATTGCATTTGAATACTGGAATATTCAAATAATCGAATACTCGATGATATTTAGTTATTCAATAATTCGAGTCAAATATTCGATCAAGTTCACTTATTCAAATATTTAGAAATTGAGTTTTTGAATGTGCCCATATTCGATTTTCGAATTCGAATAATATAAAAATCGGAAATCAAACAATGTTCACGTTCGGAAATTTTCCGAAAATCGATTATTCGATATTCATTCGTCCGTAAAGTTTTCAAATCAATCATTTGATATTCGTTTATTCGATGAAAATTTCCGTTTGTTACAACTATAATAGCCAATAAGCTATTATAGTCTGTCTGATATGCTTGAAAGTTCTGCGTAGCTTCAAACAGGGCTGTTTATTTGATGACTCTTAAAAAAACGCGCTTGTCGACCGTCGCTCCATTACTCCTCCACTTTTAAGGACAATTAATGTTCGCTGAAATGGAATCGTGCGTTCTTTTGCTCAGAGATGCGTTTGCGATCTGAAGAATTGTACCATGAATGGAATCGCTTTAAAGGCTGTAGGAAAGCGTAAAGGAGCACAACGCGTTTTGTTTGGGTTAAGTGAGTCGTGACTTGGCTTATGCTATCGGAAGCTGGGAAAAAACGATTTAGGCGTGGCTCTTTCAATTGCCGAACAACTAGATGGTTTTCTTGTTCCGGATTACATCGTTTCCAGTGAAAACTCCAAAATACTTGAAGAGAGATTAAAAATATCAACGTGCTTCAGTTGGTATCGGTGATTTTTAGATGATTAGATGGTTCGTGTACCAATGTGCCACCTACCGTTGTTCCAAATCGCCGTGCATACCTCATAAGTCGCCCATATCTGTCCACGTCGCCCCCCACTTCGTCAGGTTTTATACCTCCCCAAGTCGTCCGCTCATCGACAAGTCTTCCACTTTTCGCCATACCGTACATATCCCGCAACTCATTAGCCCAGTTTATCTAATAAATTCATTAATCTTTTTGAATAGTGAAAACAAAACAGATTGGATTAAGAGTATAAGTTACTGATTTTGTATTCTATTGTCACTAACTTTGACTGGGCTTTACTAGATCATACCAGCTCGTCTCACCTTCAGGGTACTTAAATCCACTTCTTAATTTCTTTTTAATAATCTCTACTCAAAGTGCCCAAGTTCGTTTTTGAGCAGATGATTGCTTCCATACTTGCCTTGTTCGGCCATCCAACTGACACTCCATCGCAGAGTCTTGCTCTCCTCTAAAATCCATTTTCATCTGGGACTAGTCAGTTATTTAGCGCCCATAAGCTCGCTGGTACTCAAAAAGGTGTTGAAAATAATTTTGGAGGATACAAGATTTTAAAGTCATTTTTCAAGCCATCACCGCGTACTCTCTTTGATCTTTGTCAAATGACATCTCTAAATCCTAGGGGGCCTTAGGTTTTGGTTCGCCTATACGTTCAAAGTTTATCTCCCCGAAGCGCACGAGCTGGTATCATTCTTGTTTGACGTGTGAGTTTTTCTTTTTCTTTTGTTATTCAGCGTGAGTGTATTAGCGAATTAAAAAAAAATAAAATTAAAAAGCTTGTAGGATCAAGTGAGCGAAGGGTCGAGGTCAGCCCAACTAAGTGCCAGCTGCGCAGGGATGTGTTAATACATAAACCACCACGCACATTTTCAGTTGTGTAACTTCTGACACCAACGCCATGGACCAGCCATCATTCCTCAAACAGATTTACGCATACTGCCGTCTATACAGTCTAGTATACCTATGGTAGTTCTAAGAGAGGGACAAGAAACATGGTTTCAACGAGGTTCCTGGTTCCAACGCAGAAAAAAGATCTTTAAAGGGAGATTACCCGAGGTAGTAGTAATTTCAAGGATAATTAAGCCTTAACACACTATGCATCTGAAGCGGTCATCAATTTGTTGAAAAAGCATGGCGAAATTCTACTTAAGAGCCTGTTGGAATTGCATAGATGTTGGGAACCTGGAAGGCTCCAGCAACGAGTAAGGAATTGGTTTTAGTGAGTAGTATTGAACCAAGGCTGTGCAAGACAACCTGATGCGTGCAGAATGTAGAATTCCAATGCGAAAAAATTCTGTCTACTTTCAAACATAGAAATAGCACAGTCGGGTAATGTAACAAAAAATTCTAGCATTCTCCTTCTATTTATTAACGAATTTGGAGTGGATTTTGTCTAACATTTCTGTCATTTCTCCAACTACAGCAGAATAGTATTTAGTCTGCGAGACATCTCTTAGTCTCGTCATCCTCGTGGAATGTGGGCATTTAACATGGTCATAACCGTGATGTTTATTACGACAAGCTCGATCATTTGTTTACATATTTTAGAGTTTTGTCTTAGCCACTCCTTCGAAGTGAGTTGCACACAATCGCGAGATGAATCACAACTGAAATTTAAAAACATTGAGTGTAATTGAGACTGTAATGGTATGTACACCATGACTCAGAAGAGCTATTTGTCTAGAGGTAGTTTGGGCTTTTACAAAAACACGCCCTCACATTCTCTATAATTTCGGATTGAGGATTTTTGACGATTATGTGTCCGTTGGCCTCTTTGACACGTTGACGACACTGCCCGCAAAATGGTGCGCGGCAGGCAATCTGTCCCTGTGATCGACGCCGCGCAATGGTGCACGGCGGCCTTAATCTCCATACTATCTGTTCAACCCTCTCAACTCGTATTCATATAACCAACATAGACTCGGATACTTTATATATTACCCCAGCCCTTTTGGGCGTCTCCGCCCACTCCAGTGCCTCTCACAAGGACCCTTTTGTGGACGAAAAGCATGGATGAGGCCATAGCTGAACGCAAAACCTTAAGCAACCCTGAACCAGGCCCCGCCATCAGGCATACTTCGACCTCTCATTGGCAAGCTCCGCCCACTTTTCAGAAGTGACGGAATTTGAGTCACTTCTGAAATTCACAAATTCTTGAGATTTGGGCAATTTCCGACATTTTTGGTCGAGTGGCGAGACTTGCCAAAGGGCGGGGCTTGCATACTTTATTCTTCGCGCATGAATGTGTGCATACATATATGTAGCCAGCGTAGAGACGCACGGAAACGTCTCGTCCGCAGGGATAGACCCTAAAAATGGGTCGTCATCAACGTGTTAAACGCAGTGTTCGGAAAAGTCGATTTTGAGATTTTGTACGGAGCGCGAAAATGGGAGAAAGGGCTCTAACGCAAGAGGAAAATCAGTAGGCGGGTCTTCCCCGCTGTGAATTCGCGGTCCCAGCAAGAAGATGAAGCCCACTTCTGGCAAGAAGGTGAAACAAAAAGTAGTTTTTTTATTGAATAATTTCTGTTCTATCGATGTGAAAAAAATAGGTTGATCGAGGAGATCAGGCGGAAAAGCGCAAGCTTAGTTGGAATGGCGATTAGATCGACAACTTCTGTGAGGCTCTGTATGGAAATGGCAGCCAAGATTCTAATTTTCAAATGTCAAGCGTTTTTGAATCAGATAGCGAAAAGAGAAGGTCGATACAGGAATTCATTGTCTCGAATCAGGCATTTGAAAAAACTGCTGCTCAGTGATCCGCCATTGAAGGCAGTGTCCCGGCAGATTTTGCATTTTCATCTTTTTGCATTTTTTGGGCCTTTTCGAACCGTAGACCCCGAATTTGAGCTTTGAAATGGGTGAAAACACTTTCTTCGGGTCATTTACCCAATTTCCAAAAGGCAGCTCGGACGAGAATTTCAACGGAAAGTTGGGAGGCCCTGGCACGAAGACTTTACTGCTTGTAATTTTTGCTTTGGATAGCCAGGGGGAAAACCAACCAGCCGTACTGCGGTGGGTCAGTGGGATGACCAGGAGCCCCACCATAGCGATACCCCTCAGGGCGCGAATTTGCCGGACACTGCCTTTAAGGCCTTTACACTTTTATATTGAGAGTGCAGGTGTAGATGTTGCGATAAAAATTTTACAAAGTAAAGAATATTCTAACAGAATGCATTGTTCTGATTCCGAAGACATCGCCGAAAATTATGCCTACAAAAAACATGTGCATAATCGGTTTACAGTAAAAAAAACAGAAAAAGCAAGCTTCTTGTCATACGACTGTTCGAAGCTTTTTTAAAATGCTAGTCTTGGACTTAAATGCACTAACATCCCCGTGGCGAGGGGAGGGGCCTCCCCCGTCGTGAAAGAGTACGGACGCCGCTGCGACTAATTCATCACTGATGTCGTCGCTCCCCTCGCCGCAGAGATGTTAGTGATGCGAGCCTCAGAATAAAAAAGGCTTTAGCTTTAGTTATGGGGCCCTTATGCATGAACATTCTTGCGGCGAAGGGAGCGGCCTCCCCAATGACGAAAAAGTCGCAGCGGCGTCTGCCCTCGGTCCTTTCATAACGGGGGACCCCTCCCCTCACAGCAAAGATGTTATGCGCACGAGAACTAGTGTTCAAGTCATCCCAGTCTCTTCCCTCGTTCTTTCTTCCCTTGCTCGTTTTGCCTTTGGTCTGCGTTCATAGTGATCCCGAAATCCGGGAACAGTTCCAGGACAGTTGAAATTGAGCGCTGTGCTGGAACTGTTCTCGAACTTCGGGATCAGTATGAACGCAGCGTTAGCAGCCGCATGGACCAAATGGAAACATCGGGTTTCAGTTTTAACAAGAGAACAATACTCAATGTTCGTAGTTTTTGAGATGTATACCAATACACTCGTCTTGGAACGCGAAATTTAAACCTGACTTCCGTTTTTGCTAATCACTTCTCTGAAAAAAGCTATGGAGAATTTTCACGCCAACTTTGGCTGCCCAAGGAAAATACTATCGAAACGCCAGTGCCCATGGTAAGCTGTGGTGTAGTGGTGTGCGATAGCTTTCGTGCTTTCCAGTTTTGCATTGCCTCAAATACTTTTTTTTGGAAGTTAGGCATCCTCGAAGTAATTGCACGCCAGGGCCCCACGAGGTGGGCAAATGAATAGCTGGAAATCGTTTTTGGTGGAAAAGGCAAGGGGAAAATCGTTCTTGCGGGGCCCGGGGAGGAACCCCGGAAGAAGATTCCAAGTGCAAGCAAAGGAAGGTCGAATCATGCTTATTACCTTATACAGGGCTTTACAACCTGAGTGTCACAGCCGCCCCGCTCGACCGCCACGCTTAGGTCCGCGCAGCGTTCGTGGCGCATCGTCCGGGCATTTTGCCAAGTCTCAATCGATGCCGCCGACGCATGCACCAGGCGGCGCATCGATTGAAGCTTGGCAAAATGCCCGGACGATGCGCCGCAAACGCCGCGCGCGGCTTAAGCGAGGCGCCCGCTTTGGAGGAGCCGCGCAAGCGGAGGCTGTGACTCTTATGTTGAAAAGTCCTGTACATATAATTCAGGGGAAGTAGCTTTCATAAGCCTCAGTGCACAGCAGAGTTCGCGCGCACTACGTCGCGCAGCCGCTAATTGCCGCGTGCGCGACGTCGCATAAGCGATGCCATTGAACAGCATGATTACATGATCAGTTATCAATGCAGGCGTAACGATATAGCACCAAATTACGTAAGCGAACGAAAAGAGGCTATTAGAAGCAAAGTATGAAATATTATGAAAAATTTATGTAAATGGGAGTAAATAAGCATTTTTTCCAAAAATTCTGCAAAACTGTTAAATAAACATGTGGATTCAAACGCTCGTTTGCAGCGCACAGATGACCGTACGGTATGAAACTTAGTAGGTACATGACACGGGTTGCAGGGCTTAACTTAGAAGTTTTATTAAAAAATTCTTAACTTAGAAGTTTTATTAAAAAATTATGTGACTGAAGGTTGTGGCAAGCTTCTTTTTTGAAAATTTCCCACAATCAAGAAAATGGAAAAATGGCTCGTTTGCAGCTCATAGAAAACGAAATGGCGTGAGACTGGTGTGTATACGTGCAGTAGGACTAAGGACAATGTATGAAAAATTGTTGTACGCCTAAAGTTTACTACATGGTGAGATTTTGGTTCCAAAACTCCTCCTCTTGTCTTTGTTAGAGCCTAAAATTGCATCAGCAGCCTAGCTTTCTAAGATGGAAAGCGCGCTCCAGTCAATCGATACGCGCGGGAATGGCGTCTCTCAGTCCTATGACTGCGTTACTTTGATATTTCTTTATTTCTTCAACATTTTTCTTGCTTATTCTTCTTCCTGTTTTCTATCTTGATACAGGAGAGTAGTAATTAGAGGAATTTGAGCATTTTGGGGGCTTTTGAGCGCTTTTGGGCGAAGTTTGGCCGGTACTCTCGTCGCACAAGCACAAACCATCGTTTTTGGGCTCAAGTGGGTATTCGTAAAAAGTTTTGGAATCAAAGGGAATTCATTTGGAAAACCCCGTTTGCCCACCTCTGCCGGGCCCTGTTGCAAACTCTTACACGAGAATATGGATTTTGAAAAAATCATTGCTATCGGCAAAATTAGGCGAACAAAGCAAACCTTAACAAATGACACTATGAGCATCTCGCTCAATTTCAAATTCCTCTACAATACTGCTTTTCGCATGTTATTGGGTCCGTGCGAGAAAGCCAACTGACGACTTGTTGTTTACCCGATGCGCACATTGCGATCTAGATTTCCGTAACTGTACTTCAACATGCTATCATTTCCATTTTCATTTATGAGCACCTTTTAGAATGAATATAGGGACCCATATAAAAATTACTCATCGTTTTGATGAGTAAGGGCATGTATTTACGTCGATTCGTTGACGCTTGGACTGCTTAAACGTTGCGGAGCACGCTGCGCAGTTAAAATATGTCAGAGCACGACTTGCACAATGGCAAATTTGTGCTGGGCAAGCCTTTTATCTCGCTGCGCGTGCTCCGTATCGATGCATTCTGGGCGGTCAATAAATCGACTCCACTTCGAGGATGCACAACTTTTAGAAAAAAAAGCTTGATTGAGACAATAAAACTGAAAAACACGAGAGGATTCACACCTACGCCTGCACCAAGTTGTGAAGTTATCGCACTAACCACTACACCACAACTTACCGCAGGCATTGTCCATTCCAATCAGGGCCCGGCACGAGGTGGGCAAATGACAGGCGAGAAATCGTTTTGAGTGAAAAAAGCAAAGGGGAGATCGTTTTAGCGAGGTCCGCGGCGGAGAACCGGAAAAAAACTTGGTAGTTCATGCTCGATTTTAACGATTTGACACTAAATTTCGTAGACCAACGAAGAGAGGCTAGTGAAAACAAAGCAAGAAAAATTATGAAAAACTTAAGTGCACGGAAAGAGTAGTAAGCATTCTATCCAAAAATTTTGCATTAATGGTGAGTGAAGATGTGAATTTCAAAAGGCTCCCTTGCAATGCGCAGATGACAATATGGAATGAAACTTGGTACGTATGTGGGCACAAGCCTGTAGGGGTTAACTTAGGAGTTTCATTAAAAAATTATGTGACTGAAGGTTGTGGCAATTTTTTTTCTGAGATTTTCCCACTTTCAAAAAATGGAAAAATGGCTCGTTTGCAACGCAGAGATGACGAAATCGCGCGAAATTTGCTGTGTATACGCGCAATAGGACTAAGGAACAAAGTGTGAAAAAATATGAAAGACTTATGTGAATGAAGAGCGTGCCCAACTTTTTTCCAAATTAGGTGGGCAATTGCCCCAATGCCCAAGTGAGGTAGGCGAAACTTTCAATTCTCATAATTTTTTCAAAATTTTTACATAAATCTCTTCTACACCTAAACTTTACTTTATGGTAGAAATTTTGTGTCAAAACTTCCAGTCTCCCCTTTACTATAGTCAAAACATGATCACCCTTTCTTACCGAGGAAAACGCGCCCCAATCGATCGATATGCGCGGGAACGGCCACTCAGTCCTATAACCAGTTTCTCATGTTTTTCCTTGCATCATCTTGTAAGACAGCTATTTTAACGTTGTTCTGATGTTTTGTCTTCTTTTTAATTGTCAGTTGATAGTTTGTTTTTGGTAAAGGATTCAGCAACGCAGGCTTCGCCCAAAAGCTCTTGAAAGCGCCCATACTTTTTGATCTCTCTTCATATTTCTCATCCCTCTTAACATACTTTCTGCTTGCATGTTGACGTGCTGGCCTTTAGGCTAGCGTGGACGTGTGAAGTGAGGAAGGTGAAGGAAGAATAGAATAATTCAATGGCGTACCCAGGATTTCGGTTCGGGGGGAGGGGCGTCAGCCACGCACTCCGAAAAATTTGTTGGGATGTTTCCCAAAATTTTTCCGAGCTCTTGACCCCAAAACTTTAGAAATAGGGTTTTTACAAGGCTAACTTGAATTTTTAAGAATTTTTAAAAAATATTTCAATTTTTTACAAGTAAAAACAAGTCCTCTGCACATTTTTATAACATATTTAAGTAACTTTCAAAAACTTTGCGACCTATTCTCGGGGGGGGGGCCTCCCTTCCCCCCCTCTCGGCACGCCACTGGAATAATTCAACCGCTTTTGAACGCTTTTAGCAGTTTGGCCCTTGCCTGCGTTGCACAAGCACAAAGACTCATTTTTAGCTCAAAGACGTATTCGTGAAAAATTTTGGGGTCAAAGGGGAATTCGTTTTGAAAAACCCCTTTTGCCCACCGCGTGCCGGGGCCTAATTCATCGTCGGTCCCTTGGGTTGCCAACTGGGGCGAAATCCTTCATAACTTCTTCCAAAGAAACCATTAGAAGAAACGGAACTTAGATTCGGAATCAGCTTTTGAAACGAGTGTAATGATACGAATCTCATCTCAAAAAAAAAACACGGATACCAAGTATTGTTCCCTTATAAGCTTGGGGCAGAGTCGGGCGCTTCTGACGCACTTTTATCATGAGGTGAATTCCACTCAAACATGGACCGCAACGTTGAGAAGAACGCGAATGTTGGCGGAATAGGCCTCTAACCAAATTGCAGCCTAAAGTTCTGTACAACCGCTCGCGCAACCGCTAGCATTTAGAGGCACGGAAAGAGACATTCAGGTTTTACGTATCTGTACTCAACTCATCTCCTTCCAAAGAACTGCTTTAGCATTGCTATTTAAAACACCCGTCAGTGAACTAGGTAGTTTTGAGGCCTTAGCAGATACATGGGTGAAAAAATAGCTTGGTCACAATCCTATACAACCGTTTTGAGGTCCCCCTGCACCATATTATAGATGATATCAGGAATTTTAGCCTATCAATCCAGCAAAAACTTACAGCAAATAGAAATAATGAAGAGGACAATATCGAGGATTATACCTGAAAAAATGTTTAAACTAATTTTATTTAATGCAGAGGATAACTGCCTACGGAATTCCAATTTGAATTTCTCAGTAATTATGATTACAAGTCCGAATATATTGAAAACAGCACAAACTATCTGAATAGACGTATCTCAATCAGTAAATGAATGATTAAAATTTTGTCACCAGTTATCAGATTAAAAGCATTTGTACCTTATCTTTCTGTGCAGAGGAATTTGAAGGATATACACGTTACGCGTTCAATATTATCTTACGTGCTCTGACTATTTGTCCATTCGAGGACGTATAAGATTTCATGGAAAGCTGACGAGGGGACCGCAACACAACTGATCCGATAAGGGGAAAAACTAACAAATTCCTCAAAACCCGCTCCGGTATGAACTAGAGCACGATTTGCATCGTTGCATGCCTTAATGTCTCGGTAGAATTTCGCTTTCAGACTTCCACCTTTTTGCCTTATCGCCATGAGAAATCCATATTTTGGGCTTTTCAGTGCTTGAAATTAGCAAAAATGAGCTTTTTCCGAAGCTATCTCCAGGTCAGCATTCAGCGAAAATACGCCGGCAGTCTTCTGCGCCCCGCTTTCCATGTTCCGGGGCCCCGTTCGTTCGACATGCTTTTAAGATTTCGTAAAGACTAGAATCAGATAGTAAAACTATGTGCTAGTCTCTACGAACTTGTCAACTCAGTACTTAAGAGTACTTACTCTGAAGTACCGTGTTGACATATTACTTTCACCTAACAATGACCACTTTCAGAAGGTACTAAGACTATAAGTGGAAAAATAGCATTAAGAAAAATATAGTACCTTGCCAAATTTTGTAGCGCCTAAGGTCGATTCTATCATGCATCATCTCGTTTATTTGGCTCAGTCGCAAGTATTGCACTTTTAGTCTTTGAACCCCACAATTTCTCGTCGAGAATATCCCGCATGCCTTCTCAAACCCGCATGCGTGGTATAAACTCCTGCAAGACGAAGGCGGTCGATTCAATGCGCAACGCGGCTGCGACATGGCTGCGTCACAGCCGAGTCACAGCCGCGTCACAGCCACTTCGTACCTCGAACCGACCGCCTTCGTCTTGCAGGAGCTTATACTTCGCTTCACTGTGCCTAAGGCCTAAGACATACCTCACGCGATTCGGCCAAATCGCCACTTTCACGCGACTATTTGCCAGATTTTCACGTATTTATCGTGCGCGCTTCTGGGACGCATATCTGGGTAACTTGTGCAAGCTGTTGCAAACGGAGCAAGTTCCGACCAAAGGCAGCGCATTAACGAGGAATTACGAAGAGTCGATGTTGTGCCGAATCGCGCGAGGTATCGTTTATTCGTTGACCGTAACGACTGCTGACCGCGCGGCGACCGCTGCGCGTGCATGATGTTTTCGTAGAAAAGATGAATAGAAAGAAAACAGAGAATTCTTCTCATCTTTATAATGTAGAAAAGAAACAAAGAATTCTTCTCGTCTTAAGCCACGGTCCAACTTGTCACTTTTTCGCAAGTTTAGAAGGCACGCGTCGCAGTCGCCACGCGGTCGGCAGTCCGTACGGTCAACGAATGAACGATATGTCTTAGGCCTAACGCCGTGGTGTAAACATCGTGAACGACTTTGAAGAAAGTGCAGGATGAGAAGGTGATTATGTATGGATTACCAGGCGTTGTTCACGAGATACATTTGAATTTATTCACGTAAACAGGCAGGCTGTGCTTTCATATGATTAATTGTATACTGCACCTCTGAACTTTGAGGCGTGCTTACATTTACGAAGTGAGGGTGCACTAAGATTATTGTTTGTTCTCAAAGGTGCCAGAAGTCTACAGGACGGCCTTGACAAGGGATCAAGCATGTATCTGTCTTCACCCAAAATAACTATCGTAACGCAGTAGTCAAGTCAGAATTCGAGTGCTTTGTCTTTCCAGAAAATCCCAAACCTCTCGTCGGCTGAAACGTGCTCTGTACAGGCGCAACTTGAAGAACCTTTATGACAACTTTTTTTATACCTTTTCTCTTGCTTTGAAATTGCGCACTAAAGTAGGACTTCTGCTTCTAACAATGTTGTGTTGTGTGGGAGATAGCCAGCACATTTAAAATCAGCGGGTTTCGGCCTTGCTGAGTGCGCCCGAGTAAAAAAATGTCTTTTAAATAAGTTTCAGAAACTTTTTCACAAATGTCATAATATCCTTTTGCATGATTCATGAGTAAAAAAATGCTTCTTATCTGTAACGCTTTGCATATCTGGAAGTGTCAGAATCCATTTTGAACATAAGCTCGTACTCGTTTTTTTTTATTTTAACATTTTCTTATTCTAGTGAACTTTTGCAAATGCAAGTAGGACTATGCAACAGTGCAAAAGGTGCCTACAATGCCATTTTTAGTGACTCAGAAAGGCTTTGATTTCATTTTGCAGAGCAAAATATGAAGGCATACTCCAATTTTGCTCTCCTCAAAACTATTAGTTTGATTGTTCTCATTCTCACATTCTTGAAAAGAGGTCTTTTAAATTCGGACTTCTGTAAAGTTTGGTTGGTGCATTCTATGACATGAATTTGAGCCTATGTTTCCCAAAGGTTAGTTTGTGACAGCGGTGGAATTATTGGTGCCGTTAATTTTGGCACACCCTATATAATACCGAATTGGATATTAAAAAAAAAGCTGACCTACCATCAATATGAATAAAGCGCAATAGTATCCCGGACTTTTACTTGACAATCCAAGCACGGCAAGTATAACCGCAGCAATCTGTGTTCTCCTCTAGTAATTATGAATTGTACAAACAACAAGAAACTTACTCCAACAACGAGCGTACCCAACGTTTTATAATTATGCACAGTTTCGTAGATTCCAATCGCTAAAATTATGATGGAAGCTATCAAAACATAGACCTAAAAGTCATATAGCATTAGGTTAATGCTTTGCATGCGTGATGCATCTTGCCGGAGGGGACATTCCACAAACGGTTCCATCATCGCTACCGGCTCGCATCCTTCCATCGCTTAAGGTGAAGTCTGATTTAGTGCACGATGAAAGTACAAATTGCTTACCATTTCTTACCGTCATTCCTGACTACAGCATTAATTCCTTTCTCGACATCGCTGAAAAATACATCAAAATACATAAAAACAAGATATTCTCCATCAAAGGACAGAACCACGTCTTGCATGCGAATATAATAGCACGCTAACATCTCTTTCGAGGGTATGTCTGATTGTTACTGCACAGCAAAACCTACCGGCATATAGGTACACTACGCACAAGGGCAAGTCGGTACGAGATCCTTTAGAAATTGCTTACCATTTCTTACCGTCATTCCTCAAACTGACTCGCGCAAATTTTAGCTTTCAAAACCTAGAGGATTTATACTTTTTGCAAAGTCCAGTTTGTCTGACAAGTAAATCGTGGAGTAAGTCGTCGTGGACTTTAGTCCAAAAGCGACAAAAAATCTCTACTCTTGCGAAAAGAAGAGCCAAAAAGAAATGATGGCGAGAAAAAGTGTCTCTTGTCAGGGCTTTTGTCAGGGCCCAAAATGTCGAAGTAAACGCCATATCAAACGGCAAGTATTCTGCGCATACAGGAGGAAAAGAAGGTTTACTACTCACACGACAAGATTATGACCGAAAATGCTAAGGACCAAGTCGAATTTTACACTACCCAGTTTCTTGACAAGATCACCACATCCACCTTGCCACCGCACTGTCTAAGGCTGAAGGAGGGCGCCATTGCCATGCTGCTCCAAAACCGGACCTCTCTGCAACGGAGTCCAACTTCAGGACCGTGGTTGACTAGTGTTCTAATCGGCTGCAAACTCATCATCGGTTATCAGCGCACGGATGCATTGCAAAGATACGACGCCAAGAACTTCCCTTTCAACTTGGACGCTTTCGATTTTCCACAAGGATGGCATTCGCTGAGTATACCAAATCCCAAGACCAATCTTACTAAAGTCGGACTGCGGCTCCCCACTGACTTCTTCAATCGTGGCCAACTCTATATGGCCTCAGACGGGGGAGATCGCGCGAGGGTCTCATTGTGCAGTTTGCCAACCTCAACACATTTAACTCGTTCTCAGCGGGGTTTGAAATCCATTATCTCGGCCCAAGGATGACTCCTATACCTCCTCATCCAATTTTAGTTGCCGTTATTGTTGTTGTAAGGCACTATAGTAAGATATAAGAGCGAGACAGCGGAGCTGCCAAATTCCAACCGCTAACTGCCGCGCAGCAGAGTTCCGCGACTGCTTTAAGTTTGGATTTGAAGACACTACGAAGATTCATCCATGGAACATTTCTTAAGCATGACTGCGATTTGGCAATTTCTGGTTTGCGGAATGAGACCCTTCCCCCCCCCCCCCCGAGAATGGGTCGCGAAATTTTTGAAAGTTACTTATATGGGTTATAAAAAAGTGCAAGTGACTTGTTTATACTTGTAGATAATTAAAATTCTTTTAAAAAATTTTTTAAAAATTCAAATCAGCCTTACAAAAAAAATTTTGGGGGCGTGGCTATCGCCACGCCCCTTTTTTTTTGAAATTTTGGGGTTATGGAGCTTTAAAAAATTTTGCATAACAAAAAGCGAAAATTTTGCATAACAAAAGTTTTTCTGTGTGCGTGGCTAACGCCACGCACTTCCATTTCCCATTCAAAGCCAAGCCGATGTGTGCATTTGCACTTCATGAACTCTTCCCGGCACTGGTCTACTCAGACACCGGGAGCGGACGAGCCGTGGCCCAAGGCCTTTCCGGCCCGCCCACGTCCCTATTTTGGGGGCGTGGCCGGGTTGCGGCCGACCCGCGGCCCCTCGTTCATGTCGTTGCACCAGCCGAGCGGCGGGAGGATTTGGGCTCACCGGCTCAGCCGCGGCCCTCAATGATGGAGTGACCATTGCAGCGGCTGAGCCGCGGACGAAATCTGTGCAAGAAACTTTGGCCGAGCCGCGGCCCTTGTCAAATGAAGGCCGCGGCTCGGCCGCAACTAATGTCTGAGCGTAAAGAATACCTGCGTGATGTACGACGCAAGGTCAGACTGCCCTCAATAGCCATGGATGATCCCAGGTAGGAACGAGATTATATGTTGTCTTATGAAGAACCTTCGATAGCATCTTGGCGCTATCAATTTTCAAATCGGGTTGGTTTCAGAAGCTACTACTAGCCGTCACCTTAGTTTTTGCTTTTTTGCTGTACATTTTCCTATATGCTACGTTGCGCCAAGGCCCAATAAGTCCGAGCTAGAATATAGTACGGACGGCCCGACAATCAGTTGCGGCTGAGCCGAGGCCTACCTGCGGCCGAGCCGAGGCCCGATCTCCGGCCGGGCCGCGGTAGCTGCGAAATTCCAACCGGAAAAGGGCCGCGGATCGTCCGCTCCCAGTGTCTGCTCAGACACTCGCACCGGCCGGCGACCGTCCGACGACGGCCTTCCGGCTGGCGACCGTTCCATAAATCTGGGCGGAGCTAAATGCCGGCCGGTGACCGTCCCAAAAGATCATGCCGGCCGGCGACCGTCCCAAAATTCTATCTCCCAGTGTCTTAGCGTGAAGGATACTTGCGTGAGATACGACGCATGGTTGGGCTACCCTCAATGCCTTGTGTGTTCTTCAATTTCCGAAGCAGGAACAAGGCAACATGTTGTCTTATAGACAACCCTCGATAGTATCTCGGTGTTGTCGAATTTTAAAATCGGACGTGGTCTCCGAAGCTGCTACATCAGCGGCCTTGATTTTTGTTCTTTGCAGTGTATTTTCCTATATGCCAGTGAATAAAAGACAGTTCTACCATGTGAAACACTTCTACCGTTCCTCAGTATACACCGGCTGGCGGCCGCACCTTTCCGGCCGGCGGCCGTCCGAATACCGGCCGGTGGTCGTAGACTACGCGGCTGAGTGAAACTGACACCACCCCCACCGGCCGGTAGTCGGACGGTCACCGGCCGGTGCGAGTGCCTGAGTGAGTATGGTGAATAGATTAACGAGCCATACCATGTCTTGCTGCTCGAACTAGTCGCTTGCATCATCGGACCAAAATGAAACATCCTCATAAAAAGTTCAGAAAAGTGTTCAACATGCTAGCCTCCTACGGTCAACCATTGCATGTCTAACATGTAGCTTAGGCATGCGAAAAACTTATCCGCTTAGCCGCTTCATCCAAATCGCCGTTGGTCAAACACAGGTCTAAACAATAGTGAACAGGCTGAGTTAAACGAAAATGTGGAAAGTCCGACCTGTTTTACAATTAGCAAGGGAAATTTTAGCTGTAGACCTCAACATTATGTGTATACACCAATGGCGATCCCAGGATTTCGGACCGGGGATGGGGGGGGGGGGGCGCACCAAAAAATTTTATTCAAATGAAGGTGCGTGACGTTAGCCACGCACTCCGAAAAATTTTTTAGAGTGCTTCTGCGGGCCCATAACCCCTAAAATTAGAAAAAAGGGGAGTGGCTCAGCCACGCCCTAAAAATATTTTTTTTACAAGGCTAATTTGAATTTTTAAAAATTTAAAAAATTATTTTCATTATTTACAAGAATAAATAAGCCACTTGCACATTTTTATAACCCATGTAAGTAAATTTCAAAAATTTCGCCCCCCTCCCGCCCCTCCTCGGTCCGCCACTGGTATACGCAGATATTTATTTCAGAGCACTGTGCATGCTGCAGCTTATTCGTTTCCCACCAGAATATGTGCAGTTATACAGACACTTACAATGGAGGATTTCTTTGCACACGAGAATGTAATCGCTTCGTATAATTACTTTTGCAACGTTTCAAGGCTTTCAAAATGCCTAAAACATGGTTCGCCAGAAGGGTTTTTATTAATATGCGACTTACTAATGAGTAAAGGAAGTTGAGTAGCGCTGGCGTTTAGCATGGAAATTCACATCATTACGGTCCCTTCGAGACGCTGATGCATATGCGATTTCCAAAGTTCCGGAACGAGTTTGCGAAAAAAGTTACAGACCCCTGGTTTTACAGGCCTTGTGCTTCCCGGGCGAATACAAGAAGTTACAGGCCACCGGTTTTACAGGCTTTGTGCTTTACAAAGTTAGTATGCATCGCTACTGAGGCAGGAATATGTTTCGAAACGGAGTCATAACTGAAACTACTTATATTAGCTAATTGAGATTTGGATAAAATAAGAAAGACTTAAATAAAATAAGAAAGTTTGCAAAAAAAAACGCAAATTATAAACCCATGCACCCAGTACTTTACCGCTGAAGGCCGGCTGCTGTGTCATCCCAATCATATCATCAGCATTTCCATCAATGAAGCGACATTACTAGCACTTGATGCGATGGTAGATTGGGCAAACCTGTGACTCAGGGGTCCATAGCTTCTTATTCGCAAAATTGTTTTGCTGATTTGGAGGTCAGATATGTTATTAGTGTCCCGAAGAAAACTCAATGATATACATCTTTTTGCTGAAAGCCAGCGCCACTCGATATCCTTTCTTTGGAAAAAATAGGATGGAATACGTGGTAACCACACAAAACACTTTGATTATTCAGCATATAGAAATTTAAAAAAATACAGAGAATTTCGACACATTTGCATTTGTTTTGTACTGACCGGTTTCGAAGCTTAGAAGTAACTCGTAGTGAGTGCCACTCTCTTGGTACCTCTCTCGCCACTACTTTCCAAAAACTTTCACAAACCGAGAGAATGGAGAAAAGTAACATACGCAAAAAAATCTTGAGACCAGCTTAGTGAGCAAAGTAGAAAAGACGCGCACCATTTGAATTTTTCGCATCCGTTCTATCATACTTGTATTTTGCTCATAAAGTAGATTTTGGTGAAATTTCGGAACTGAAGCTTTTATCTCAATTTTTGAGACATTGTTAAAGACGATATCTGTCTGTCATAAATCTGTGGAGAGACTAAAAGGCAAGCTCTTGTCGCAATTTTCTGCAAAACATATGCCTCGTCATTAGAGTCAACTCGCAAAGAGCGGATCAGGCCTGGTTTATCTAGAAATCTCACACATCAAACTCCTCGTATCACAAACTTCCCCCCGGAGACGAGTGCTCACGCATCCGATTATGGATTGCAACTGCAAACAGCAGTTCCAGTTCTTCGGTGGTGAGCCGAGGAAATAGACAATCCGAAACTTGTCCGCGTCTTCAAAACAGGGATCCTATGAATCGGGTTTTTTGAGGCTTTTTGACAGTTTGAACTTTACAACCAGGGTTGAGCAAGAGGTCAGGCACAAGTCTTTCCAAAACGACCCCCCCCCCAGTGAAAGCCCCTAAACGACCCCTCTGCTTCACATCCACGACCTCGGGCTGTGATAATTCGAAGAGATCAGCCGTTTTTGGGAGGTTCTTGTTTTTTGGAGGTCTGTAGGTCGACTTTCTGCGATTGCACAGCACATGCAACTTGACGGCAAGTTTTGGATTTTGGATAGCCCTACTTTTAGAGCTATAATTACCACAGGGGTGTATTGTTTGGCTCCAAATTTGCAGTATTGCAAGAAGAGGCTTTGAGTTCAATACTCATAGCAGAAATGGAGCGATTTTTAGATTTTGAAAACAAGTTAATCGGGTCAGGCGCAACCCCTCAAAAGCTCAGGCGGCCTGACCTTTTGTGGGGTTGCGCCTGACCCGATTAACTTTATCACTGAAGAAGCTTTTTTATTCAAGTTTTATGTGAATCGCTAGCACAACCCTCGAAGATTCCACAGTAAGTGTTTGGACTTGATTCGACTTGTTTCGGCCTTGTGGTAATCCGTGGAGTTGAAGCAGTCATGGCGAAAAACGCGCCGGTCGAAATTTTGGCATTATTTCTTACTCCACTATTTGCAAGCGATACAAAGCGCGATTTTTAGCCTAGACTAGTAGGGAACAATACTTTGTTACGAGTACAAAAAAATTGACTTTTCTCACTTTTGTAAACAAGTTAATCATGTTTGAAAATCACGCTTTTTAGTCGTTGAGAAACACTAGATAATGCAGTAAATAATGGTTTGTAGGGCTCATAGAGGTAATTTGACGTGCTCGAAAATGATACCCATTTCAAACAGCAAGCTTCCTTGATGAATTTATAATATGTCAAGGTGGAAGATGAAGATTTGAGTTTTGGCCGAAACTTCGATTGTGGAATTAATCAGTATGCTGTTTAACACCGTTCATTCCTTCAGTACTGGTGAGGTCGCGCTATCCACTGAACTAGCGCTTTTCTTCTTCACCTTAATCGTAGTACCTCCTCAATCGAACGAATTCGATTCCTAATCACGACCCCCCCCCCTCTGTCTTACCCCAGTACGACCCCCCAGGTCGGGCGCGCCTGACCCCACGCTCAACCCTGTTTACAACTGTAATCGGGGCCATGGAAAGGCCCTAGAATGACAAAAACATGGGAGGCGAAATTTTGCGCGGACGCTGCCTTTAACACGTTTCGGACCGGTGCTGCACCATGTGCAGCACCCTACTTTGAATGATCTTTTTGTCGTTTACAGGAGGTTTTCTTTTAGCCCAAGGTTATAAAGTCAAAGGCCTAAGCTTATACTTTTCAGTTGACTCTGTAGAGTTGTGCCGCCGATATTTATTTGAGAGACATGAGCGCAAATCGACCAACAGTCGCAACGAAGTGCGGCAACGCGTGCGACGTCGCAACTTCCCTTTGCTTCCATTTCAAGAAGAAAAACTGTAGTTTCAATACTGATGTGTACCATTTACAGCATAAATACTTTTCGATACTATTAGAAACCGAGTTCTTGTTCCTATCTTTCAGGAAAGCACAGCAGTCTTTCACAAGTGACAAAATTTAATCGTTTCGAATCTATTCAGAACTTTGGGTATGGAACTTACCTGACAAGCTTATTACAGATGTAGCACACAGTTTACGAAAAAGGTCCTTTGTTGGCTTACGGGTGAAAGTGCACTCTTTTTCGCCAAGCGCGATTTCGCGGTCCGAATCGTGCTAAGGACTGATAATCTGTAGGGGGCGCGAATGCAGATGCTCCCTCCGGACATGAAGCTCTCTTTCAGATCGCCCTGCGAAATTCATGCAAGCGACTTTGAAGCTTCTTCTTTAAATGTCGATAAATCAGTCTTGAAATTCGCACAGTTGTTATGCATATCCGCCTTCTTCAGCGATCAGAACTGGCTTTTTTTTATTCTGTGGAATACAAGTCTTGGAAAAAGCAGGAATGATGATGGGCAAGACCATTAAACCCGCAAAAGTTCCTATACCCAAGCATTTCTTAGTCTCCGAAGCTTACTATGTAAGTACATGCACAACGAACAATTGCTACAGTCGAGCTATGTCAGACCTTTTGAAACAGTCATCTACTTTTCTAAGCTGAAAATCTTACACTTATTTTGCTTCTAACACCTGTATTTGAGTATTGAGTTAAATTTTCGCTCTTCGGCGGAATGCATGTGATCTTGTGCATTCTCTGAATTTGTAGCAACATAGGCATCGAAAGAAAATCAGAATAGCTGTTGAATCAAACCATAGATTTACCCATCACCTACTTATCTATAGTCGAATTTTAACCCTACAATTCTTTATTGCGTTGTCGCTAAGGTCTGAAATTGTCACAAAAGCGAATCTGTTCAGGTTTAGAACATTATCTTCTTCTGTTGACCCAAGAATGGTAGATCTTTCATTAATGTCAACGTTTTCGGCGAAAGTAAATAACTATTATGCCAAGATTAAAAAGGTGGAGTATAGATGATGTTCACAACGTTGCACATCCCTTGGTTTCCAAAAAAAATTTGAAAAGAGAGTTGAAGAGCTCAGCTAGCTCTGCAACTGTAATCTCCTCTGGATTTTTTACATGGTTCTTAGTTGTCAGATAATGAAAACAATTTTCACTGCAGGTTGCCGGTGTGTGGAGGATATGATCAGTGAGATAAGCTCTGATGCAGTCATTATCTGCAGGATCCTGTTCGCAATAGTGCTGAGATGTACGAAATTTTGCACAATGACGTGAGGACTCCCTTTCGTACAAATGTGTTCAACACACTGACGACAACGTGACCACATAGTGAGTCATGGCGTAAGTTTCGTTGAAAAGACTGCTATTTTAGAATCATCGGTTTCAAAAGCTCCCTTATGCCCTAAGCCTAGAAATTCCTCTGTGTTTCCCACCTGCTTCATAGAATTACTATAAGTATACTGTAGTTGACGATTTTTATGATTTTAGCTAAAAATTTTCGACTTATCCGTGGAAGGCATTGTCCCAAGAGGCAGACACTAAAAACGCATGTTGTCGTCAACTGTTAAATTGCATAACACTATCACTGACTGAGCTGCAAGACTTCCATGGCCGAGAAATTTATATTCAAACCTGTCCCGCTACCATAACAGCGAATGACTTGCATCTGCTTGAATACTACAGTGCACCTCCCCCCCCCCCCCCTCCTTTTTTTGTGATGCGTTTCCACGCAAAAAAATGCATGCGACTCAAATTGTGTACGGTTTGAAGATGGATTTCTCGGCCGTGTAAGAACCATTTGCACTACCGCTTGGAGACGGTGCCTTACTCAGGCCTTACAATCAGTTTCTTCAGACTCCGGCATGCCTGAATTGCCTTGACGCTACCTTTGAGTAGTACATCTACTAAGGCCGTGCGAAGTCGCATGAATCTGTGACGTTTGTATTGACACAAACTGCACCTGGGAATTTCTAAGATGTTTGTGGAAAATAACATTGCTAGAGCATAAACATGATTGCAAAGACTGCTTAAACTATTTATAATAAATATCCAACAAACTGCAGAGAGTTCCTGAGTCGGCGTTGTCTTCCATGTTTGTTCCAAAGTTCATGAAGGGATTCATTGAATTTTCGTCTTCTTGTTGATGGTGCACATTGAGTGGGCAAAGAATGATCTGCATATGTCTATGTTCTTTCAATGAGTGGATGCATGTCGGGGCGCAAGCATTTCGGTGCTGGCAAGCTGTCGTGACAAATCAAGTTTGTTTCTGCTTCGCTCTCTTCGATTATCCCGGAGTGTGAGCCCCCTGCTCTCATCTTCTCCGCAATATTCATCGGATGAGGTCTCTTGAATGGGTCCAGCTTCATACTTTACTCATTGAGAGTTAATAAACAATAAAATGTAGTAGAGTTACACTGAGGTTTTCGGATGAGTAACTCTCATGTATTCAACTTGTGTAGGTTTTTTGAACGGCTGTGGCCCAACTGGAATCTCAGAAGAAGGCAATGGTGGTGGAGTCGTGGAAGGAATTCGCTCCTCACTTGAGCTTGTCTGCGTTTCTGTACTTTCTTCTATAACGCTCATTTTTCTTCTTCGTGGGCTCGCATATCCGAAATAAGGCGTGGTTGATTTGACGCTTGTATTGAAGTCTGCAAAGGGAGGTAGTATTGGTGGTGGCGGAAAAGTGTCCACTTCTTCATAAGGTCCCACTTTTGTATGTGAATAGTAGTCAAATGATCTGTTTAGGGTTTCGTGTTGTGCGCTATTCCGGACTGCGTTCACTTCTTCGATGTACCTACTACCGCTTCGTGCAGGACCAGGAATAGCAGTAACCTTCTGAACACTTTCTCTAAATGTTTTGCTCTTGTTTTTCTCTAGCGGCGAAGGCTGATTTTTAACATTCACACCACTCGTAGTCGGTAACTTCAATTCTTCAGCCATCTCCTCTTCTGCGGTGCGCTCTATAGACAGCGAGAACATCTTGCTGGTTTCGGGAGGAGATGCTCTTAACTCAATACCCTCGGGGTTGTAGCAGCGGCGAAGTGTTTTCTTTGTTGTACTCCTCCAGCCGGCCAACTGTTCTTCTGAATCTACGCTGGTGCCAGAAAGATTACTGTACAAGGGTGCAGTAGTAGTCGAGCTCTCGGTTGCTGTAGGGGTTAGACTCGACGCTGCTGAGGCAAACTCGTCTACAAGAATAGTTTTCGCCTTCAACTCTTCCATGAGCTGCGAATGTGTTCCTGACGCTGGATCTGGAGGAGGTGGAGCTGAAGAAGATGTAGGCGATGTGACCCAGCTGCAAAAATTGCTTGTAAACAAAATGAGACGTTCACGATTACTAAAAATAAAGTGTTGGCATGGAAACCACTTACTTTGACACCTTTTCTTGCGCTGCTATTCTGTCGTAAAGCTGACGTCCAGCAAGGGCACGTCCATCCTCATTCGTATCATCCTCCATTTTCGCAATCACTTCTGTGATCTTTTCCAATCTGAGAGAGTTTACTGACTTTTCTTATACACTGCGGAAATGGTTTTCCCTACCTTTGCTCGATCTTTCGCAGGGTAGCCTCATCCGAACTGCTTTCAACCCTCATTGGAGGCACAGCAGGAGGTATCGAAAGTCCCAAGTGAGAATTGCTCTTGAAAGCCAACTCTGGTTTCAGCAACCTCATAACAATTATACAAGAGTTCCCATTATAGTCGCAGGCTTGAAGCGCATCCTCAAACTTTCCTTTTTAGCAATTTGGGATTCAATGATGGTAAAGCCTTACCTGCATCGTCTTGGCCGCTATTTGAGGATTCACTGCGCTAGTCGCGATGCCAGCAATCTGGGCATCGCTCAAAAACTCCCACACCGCCGAACTTGCAATGATTATGTAGTCAATCTCATGTGTGACTGCTAGTGACCGGTTTGTTGGCTTTGGTGTTACTATTGGATGAAGACTGTAGAATCCTAGTTGTCGCTGATTTGGTGTGATCCCATTGATCATATTATTCTGAGACTATTTCTGTAAGAGAAGCAGAAAGAAAAAAAAGAGATTTTCTGTCATACCTCGTCAACGGTGCCACCAGCTGAGCGTATGCGATCGTACTGATCCTCGTCCAATTCGCTAGGATCGGTTAAACGTTCAAGGTTTCCATTAGCTATTATAGCTGCTCCGATATTTCCCACATAAGAAATCGTCAGCTTTGAGTCGATGTGCATAAGTAGACAGCCTAAAAGTGGTGTACATAAACTTTATAGCCATAGTAGTGTAATCAGCAAAATATGTCATCTTAATCTGTATACCTTTATCAAATTATTCAGGGATCCCAACTTTTATACCGCGGTAATTCAAATGTGACTTTATACATTAAGCTTGTGGAATGTTTGCCCTCAAGGCACCGCCACTTAGATTTTTGGCTTCTTATTTTAAGACTTAACTATTTGACTTTCATGGCCCTTGTTCGAGATCCAAAAACGACAAAACAATAACCGTCCTTTTTAGACAGTTTTCCGACAAGGTGAGGAGTGCTCTAGGGCTAGTCTCATCCTATAGGGACGTAACAGGGATGCAGTTAATATGCGTTTCAAATGTGTTAGTCCTCTCACAAAGTGCGAGCGAGCAATCCTTGAATGGGCGGGGTGAACATACGCCTTTCCATGGAGCCACCAGCAGCACCTCAACCCTTCCCGAAATGGCATGATTTTCTGCCTAATGAAGGAGCGACCCCACTATTATATAATCATACATATAGCACTAGAATTTTACCATCACCTTGGGTGGACGATGCCTTCAAAGAGAGCGTCCAAGTATCTATAGCTACCTTCACTTATGGTGGCCAAGCCACTGCCCATACTGCACTCTTGGAATTCCTTTCATGCTGAATTTACCTACAGCGTGTCCCAAAAATCTGAGATTTGTATGATCGTAATTGTCAATAACGCTCTTGCCGGCCTTTAGGAACCACAAAGCCAGCTTCAACTTAGATCCACAGTATGAGCAAATCATCGATCTTCTCATCACTGTAGAATTACATTACCCTTTATCAAGAAGGCCACATAGGTGTGGAAAGCTCGCAGTCTCAGTTTTCCCGGGCCTCTGCCTTCAAAGAAATCTGACTGATAATCACGCTTTGCCTTGTCCAGCTTCTCTCATAATTATACGGCGAACACGGTAACACCTTTTCTTTTAATGATCCTCAAAAATGTGATTGCACCATTCAAAAAGCTGTGCGAAGTTGTAGAAAGTTACTTATTGCTACTAAGTTCACCATGCACAAAAATCTTGTTACACAATTTACTGGTTTTCTGAAATTTTTTCCCAATTAACTCACAATGGGGCCTATGGTATTGCTCGTAAACCTACAAAAGATGAACATAATTTTGGAGATTCGCTCATGTAAATCTAAGTTATAGCAGTACTACAGACGTGTACCTAAAGATCTGTAAAAGCCTTTGCGGCATAGCAGATATTAACTATCAAACAATGTGCGCGATTTTGCGACACCCTTTGTATACTCTTGCCCACTAAATCCCAAATTCACAGGGATTGATTCGTCATTCGAATACAGTTGAGGTAAGAATTAGGGCTCTATCATTCAGAGTAACTTATGAGATTGCGCTTAAGCAATGGTTCAATCAAGACCTCTCAGCAATCTCAACGTAAGAATAGGTGTTTAGATTTGCCTATACTATAATCAGAGAGGCTTCAAAATCAAGGCAAACTTACTAGCACCCAGCCTTTCACCACTTTCCTCCAAAGTTTCGTGTGCTTCAAGCAATATTGCCGACAAGTCGTGCTTCTGAGCCTAAAAATGGAATAATCTTTGATTCAATTGGCTTAGCAGTTATGAGGCGGGGCTTTGTGACCTAATTAAGGCCGCTCGTGCCCGCGACGCAGTCTGCGTCCCTCCCGCGAGCGTGTTCTCTGATCATTTACCTTAATTAGGTCACAAAGCCCCGCCTTCCAGACGCTAAGCTTTTTGAATCAAAGGGTAGTCACGAAATGAAAGCTCTTCGGCGACATACCGTCAAGGAAATGGTCTTCTTGATGACTGACTGAATGACTTTAGGCAGCTCATAATTCATCGAGCCATCCACCATACCATAAATGTTACCGCTATGTATACGACGAATGCACAGCCTAAGCGGAGATTTGAAATAAACGCCTTTTCTAGTAGGATTCCTACTTGTTCCGACTTCCAGATGTTTCGGAAAATCCCATTTGAACTCGTTCTTTTGCATGTCCTCCAATATCGTACAGGGCTACGGGTTTTCTCTGATTTTTGCTGAACTCGTAAATAAAAATTTAAGGCCTTGATTTTGGCAATTTCATGCAAACCCCAAGGTTCCAGAGTTGACATTGAGCGCAGTGTTACAGGTTAGATCAAGCTGTTTCAGTGCTTTTCCAGTGACAATACTCGAAGCAAAGGATCCGAGTGCATTATTCGACAAATCGATCATCTGAAAAGTTCAGCTGAGATGAACAGATCAACCGCTTTTCCAAAACAGTTTTACCTGCAAAGTGGCTGATACCGACAGATCAGGTATGTTTTTGATACGATTAGAGTGGGCTTTGAGAGTCTGAAGTGCTGGCAGATCGAATATCGACGAGGAAAGAGTCGTCAACTCGTTCGAGCTCAGATTCAACTCCTCCATCAAGGTAAGAGAGTTTAATGCACTGAAAATGATAGATAGCAGATGGATATAAAATGGTAGACACATGTGCGGCAAGTTTTCCGCCATTAGGGACTATTTAGGTTTTTTTTACTTCTTCCGGAGTACAGAAAGGGTAAAGCTATAGGGTAAGTGGCCATATTTTTCGCGTTTCTCATGGTATATGAATTCTAGTTGGTGCTTGGTCGGTACATTATTTTGCACCAACGTTCTTGGAGATTCGCAGTTTTTAATGGGTGCATAAAGGAAAAATTGTTTTTAGCGCGTTGCATCTATATAAACTGATTAAGAATAACATGGAATGTTGTAACTACGATGATGTTTTTTTTATTCGGAAAATGCTGCAAGGTCCGAAAAAACCTGATAGTTGTTTTGATCTTTTTTATGAAGCTTCTTTCCCAATAGAACTTCGTTCTTAACAAACCCCTTAAAGATGTTTTTTTTAGATTTCTTTCTGTTCGATTTTGATCTGTATAAAATCGTTCTTTTTGTCAGAATAGTATATAAAGGGTGTCCCAAAATTAAGTACACACCAAGTATAACCGTTAAAAACTTCCCACTGAGTGCTTTAGGTACCATTCAGTAGAGGAGGCTACAACTTACAAGGGAGGTCCGTTTGGTCGAAGTAGCCTTTTCACATGAAAGTGATACCACTATAAAGAGCTTCAAACGCTGATTCCACATCTGTCTTCAATGTCTGCCGAGCGCCTCTGGACCTCGAGTTATGACCTTTTTTGAGTTAAAAATTGAATGCATTATTAGCATAAGATTCATGAAATTCATCAGAATTGCTCAAATGTTGATTATCAGATTACTCCACTTGAACAATACCTTCTGCCCAAAACACTTATACTTAAAACTACTTTATTTGAGCGCTGGAAAGACCGTAAAATCTGATTTTACCTTAGGCATTTATTTTTCGCACCAAGAAAATATTCATAACTCGGCATGCAGAGGCGCTCGGCAGATAGAGAAATCAGATTTGATCAGCGTTTGATGTCTTCAAAGTGCTGTAAGACTCATTTGGAAAGGCCACTTCGACCAATCGGACCTCCCTTGTTAGATCCGCAGTATGGAGCGAATCACCCAACTCTCGTCATTATTGTGGGATTACGGTAGGAACTCTGAAGAGGGTGAGCCATTAGTGGCTGCATATTTTCCAAAAACATTATTTAACGAGCAAACTCTATTACTGGATTAAACTGAGTCGCTGATGATCAATATGAATTCGCACTTTATCGTAAGTTTGTTCATAAGTTATGCCAAGTGAACCCAAACGACGGCTTTCTCACTGTTTTTCAAAAAATTGAACCATCTAAAATTCTTGATAACTCATGATAGTTGTCTGATGAAGTCAGCATCTCTCAAAACGCTGCTACACAACTTTCCAGATTTTTTTGGAACTTTTTGTTGGAACGGCCTATTGCGCAATAATGCTGTATGCTGAAACTTCCCACTGTAATCCTGAAGTCACGAAAAGAGATGGGTGAATCGCTCTATGCTGTGAATCAAGTTGAAGCCTCCTTTACTGTAAAGTACTCAAAGCTAAGGAAAGGACTTGTTGGAAGAGGGTCAGCAATCAAAGAATGTGTATTTACTTTTGGGACACCCTCTAGTTTGTAAAAGGTCGTGTTACGAACTGAATCTCACTTTTTGAGAAATTTTTAGTCTGATAAATGAACCATAAATTAGAAGGATTTCAAGCGCTGCCTACCTGTCATCAAAATATCTCAGCTTATTGTGGGAGATATCCAGAATCTTCAGCCGCTTCATTTTCATCAAGATTGGTACAATCGACTCGTCCAAGCGATTGCCACTAAGCCGAAGAGTGTTGATGCGGTTACGATCAACATTTCCGTTGACATTCGGCAACGATGTCAGTCGATTGAAAGAGACATTCAAATGCCGCAGTCTGTAAAAATACGTAAATGATTTGTAATTAGGATATTTTATTTTTACCTGTAGCATCTGCGAAAAAATTCTCGTGGTAACTCCGTCAACTGATTTCCGTGTAGAACACAAGAAATTAAGTTAAGGTTTTCCACAGGGTCCGGCAAAGTTTTGATTTTGTTGTTTTTGCAGTATAAATAACGCATCGACATCACTGAGAAAAGCCTGAAAATGATACATTATACACATTGGTCTGTGCCCTTGATGCAGATTCTACCTATCTGGAAGAGAGGTGAGGCGATTGTTGTTTACCCGTAAACAATCAATCTGTGGCAGATCACAAATCCAATCTGGCAGTGAATCAAAATTGTTGTATGAAACATCAATGAACACGAGATGAAGAGGGACCGGCATAATGATTAGGCAGTCCAGCACTGAAAATATAAAATCTTACTCCAAACAATGAGCAATATCTCAGAAATGATGCAAAAAAATTTGAGACATAAATCTCAACTCACAATTGTGATGAGCATGCAGATGAGTAAGGCTTTGACCATTCAAATGTAACGAGGTCAGCTGCAGCCGCTCACAATGCAGAACCTGAAGTTTGTGCCTTTGATTGAAGTTTGAATACTAGAGTTACGTAAATGGAAACGTTGAGGTCAGAAGAGTACCTTCATTGATAAGATTATACATGATCAAAAAATCTTGAGCAAAAAAGCATAAATGGTTAAGAAAGCGTTCCGTCTTGAGCAAAAAAGCATAAATGGTTAAGAAAGCGTTCCGATCTATGTTATGAATTTTTCTAAAATATCATGAAGAAACAGACTCAGGTTGTCGAGCAAATCTATCTAATATATATATATAAAATCGTTAGCTTAAATCAAAAGTCTTCCAATAGCGGGAAAACGCGGCGGGTCCCGAAGTGAACGCTCCTGCAATCTAGCACCTTTAGTTTACTGATTCACTAGTAATACCAAATGAATATTTATGGAAACATCCAAAGCACAAATTCAAATTGGTCAAAAAGAATGGCTCGTAAAAGCATAATCTGAAATAAAAATCGGTTCCATTGGATCTTTGAGCAAGGACCAAAACACTGCATACGCTTGTGTTATCGTAAGAATGACATTTGAATACTTCAAGCATAGTGGAAAAATAAAAAGCGGGTAATCCTTGGTAGAAAGCGCAGCGCATAATCCTTTGTGAATTTTACTGCTTCAAACAATTCAGATGAAATTAGAGGAAACTACGACCTTCGTAAAAGTTTCGCTGGATGACTTACGGCAACCTAATAATCTCGGTGAAAAAGAACCACTATTATCAAAATAAATTTTTAAGTACATTTGTCTTTGCTATTGCTTGACTTTTAGTAATACAATACCACCCGTAATTTGTGAAAAAAAATGGCGGCGCCGCGTAAGTTAAGTGCCGCCGCCATTTTTTTTCGCAAATTACGGGTGGTATTGTACTTAAGTGATTGGTATAACGTTCACCTAATCAGGCCGTGACTAAGCATTTCGTGGATCTTGATAATATCTCAACTTCACCCACCTGTAAAGATGGCATATTGGTAAGGTGCACCGTGGAAACATTGCAATTGTCGCGGATATCCAGAAACGTCAATTGATCAAAATACGAACTTGGGAGCCGAAAGCATCCACATAGTGACGTTCGCCTCAAATCAAGCTAAAAAGAAATTACAACATCACTTCCCGCATGATAAAATAAAGCTAAGGTGCCCTCACCTTGGTGACGGAGGAGTGCTGATCAGTACTTATACATTCGATGTAGTTCCCAGCTAGGCTCCATTCCATGAGATTTGGCAGTTTGAACAGGACCTCCTCTGGCACCTTGAATGATAGAGATCAGGTATGAAATTTCTGAAATTTCCTTTCCTACCTGTTTAATGCGATTGAATTTCAAATTGAGCCAAAGTAGCTGATCGCATTCGCCAAGCTGTATCGGCAATTGGCTTAGCCAATTGTTCTCCAGGTCCAGGAAAACTAATCTAAATTAAGGAAAGTTTTGCATCATTTTACTATGCAGTTGCTGATTCCGAGGAACCTGTTAGGAGTACAAATAGAATATAGTGTTTCCACACGAAAAAATGTTCGAAAAAGTTGTATAGCTTTGATTAAAAGCGATTGAATTTGGATGATTTTTTCATGAGGTCGTTTATGAATATTCTTAAGTAAGTTTTCTAGGAAACTACGAATTTTCAACACCATGTGTAGATCAAGGATGCTGCATGTTGGAGCAAATCTCATTTAGTTATTATAAACTGATTTCTAGACCTCCATCTTTACAGAGTTTCAGAGAGATGCAAGAAATCAAATTTTATACACAGAAATAAAAAGAGATTGAATTCTGTATCGGTAAAATGTAAAGATTTCAGGATTTCCAGCAAACAACTATCAAACTATGACTTTTTCAATGATTTGGCTTTGCACAATACGTGATGTCCCCTACAAACGTACCGTTTCATAAGCTTCACGTTCGACGGAATCGTTTGTATGCAGTTCGATGCCAAATTCAATTTCTGTAGATTCAACAACTGTGTGATTGATATAGGGAAGGTAGATAATCGATTCGAGGATAGATCCAAGGTTGTGAGAGATGCCAGCCGAGTGAGATCGTCCAGCCAACCTACTTGCACAGCCGAAGGCTAAAATTAAGATGAGAGGACTAGGTATGAGTTTATACCGCTTACATTGGCTGGATTTTTTGCTGATAGCGAATTTCTTCTGAGATTGAGCTGTTGAATATCGTCAGAATCGGAACAGAACAGACTTTCTGGTAGCAGAGTCAGATTTCTGTCGCTTAGATCGTACATTTTTCGATGCCCACTCTAAAAAATATCGCTATATGGCGTCCTGGCAAATGGTTGTTCGGTTTAACTTATTTGTTTTATCGTAATCAGCAAACCGGTGCACAAAAGTTTTGTATGTGAACGAGGCACTAAATAGTATACATATGATGAAACTACAAGAATAAAAATTGTTTAATCTCCATATGTCTTTATAATACTTCCATTTCGTATCTTATCTCGATCATCTGTCTTAACGTATTGATTCTTCCTTGTTTGTATTAGGGTGTTCCATATTTTTTTGCCGTTTTTCCTACGATCGTTGTTTTCGCATCTTTTCTTCACCTGTTGTGTGTATAGTACATAATTATTCGACAGGACAAAGCAAGCTCTACAAAATGTTATCAACAGTCTGCCCAAATCGTATTCCATGTAAATTTTTGAGCTGAAATCTGACAGCAGTCAAAAACGAACTTTTCCGTCAAAAATCGTATCCCCAACCCGAAAATTTTTTTTAGAATGGGGAAATCTTGAAAAATTTTTTAAAAAATTTTCAAGATTTCCCCATATATCCTAGCATATGCTTGACATATCAAACATCCAATTGTACTATTTCCGTTTTTTCCATGGCTAGAAACAAAAATAAATGGCGTAAAATAGCAAACTCCGCCCCTAGACTCTTGAGCTCCTCCCATGCACGTGATCATATAGCTCATACATATAGAAGTACGATCATGTTTTTGTAAACTCTGTAGGTGCCTCAGTTCTCAAAAAATTTTGGCTTAGGATAAAAATGTAAATTACGGGACAACTTAGTATAACGCATCATGCTAAACATATACAAACAAAGAAATAATTTCAATAAAACGAAATGAATAGATAAGTGATATTGTAATTCACGAATTCTGGTGCTGCCTTGTGCATTATAAGTAAGGTCTTATTGTTAGGAAAGCGTGATTATTTCCAATAAATTTCAATTTTGATTTCTTCAATCATTCCCTGACCTGACGACATCTTGTGGACCACATGGACAGTGTCTCGGTCTCGTCAAAATGTAGCATTGTGACAGAATTCGAACTCTGTAATCGAAGGCAGCGACCGCGCCGATTCTCGCAAACATCCACTCGACATCGCGAAAGAGTCAGTACGTCGTCTTCACCCGTGTCTGAAATGGAAAATTTACTTTTTTTTTGAACAAAAATCAGCGCACTCTACCTTTTTGTATTCTTATGCAGCCATTATAGAGCAAGCACTTATGTCGACTCCATCGGTGTACGAGCTTTCCCCTGCGAACATTGCAGGTGGCGACTAGGATTTCGGATCTAACTATGCTATTTGTGTGAAGCGCAGGTCGTCCTGAAGTAAATTTTATGAAGGGGTAGGCCGTAGGGAGGGCAGATAGCATAAAGTCACTACAGAAGTAAAACTTCGAATTTTCTGTCGGAATAATGTACTCGCATATGAAACGTTCGAATTTTTTCTATGGCTGACTCACCCAGAAAGAAAGCTATCAAGTGTCGAAACCGTAACTCAGTGCCATGAGTGAGTATCGCATTTTCGGAATGGCCAAGTGTGGCAAGAAATTCTCGAAGTATGAACAGAGGTCGAGCCCGCGAAGAGAGATTCCTGCAAATAGATGGGGTTCTCAAAACATACTGCCTCTTTACTGTTAGAAGAAAGCATCTAGATGTGAGGTTTTGGAGAGATGTCAGTGCCGATAGGCACATACTTGCAAAGGTCAATACGCTTAGTATCTTTCGCCAAGTTAGGAAATATCTTCAAGCAACGACTTTTGTTGAACACATTGTAGTGACAACAAAAAGATTTTGGTGTTACTAACATTGGGTTCGAACATTATGCATAAAATTCTTGAAAGCCCAGTCTTCTCCTGTTTCAATAATATCGCTATTCTAAATTGGGGAAGTAAATCAGTTGCTTTGTAGGGTCTCGGAAGAACAGAACGATTTGGTTTTCTGATTTACTCTTTTAAATGAAAGGTGTGATAAGATATAGAACGAAACCACCAGGCAAAGACCATAAATGGCGGAAAACACGTATCTATGTGATAAACGATATTTTTTTGTTAAAGCCGCGAAAGGCTTTTATAAATTATCTGTTAATGCTCAAGCAGTACTGCACAATATTGAGTAGGCTACAGTTCTCTATGAAAACTCTTCGTGTTGCTTTAAGTCTAAGATTCTTTGAAAGAATTAGCTCGAAACTTTCATTATCACACATCAGCTAGCCAGAATTTTCTACTATTAGAAACAGACGATTATGCCTCGATGTGGCCAAATCTTCAAAAGCTCAGTCCTTTGACTTTCTGAGCTTCGTTTTCATATGATGGTGGAGAAACGAGTAATTGGGCATTTGGACATGCATGAGCTTTCTCTACATATTTAGCGAATAACAATAATAGTAATTTTTCATTTTACCTGATTTATTTATGATCTTTTTATTTGATTTTCTAGTCAGAAATACGGAATTTTTTTTTACATTAGCGCATTATGATAGAATTTGTATGTCTCACTTTTTTGTGTTTTTACTTTGAAGGGAAATAGATTCTATGCATACAGGAACATTCTAATTGTCACTAGAGTGATCCTTCCAGAGATATCAAACTCGGGACAAAAATTCGTCGGTAGCATTTGTAGGAGCCGCAAAAACCACCAAAATCATGCATTATATAATTTCTAACTGGCTAAGAAACCGAGAAAAAGTGGGGACGTATATTTTTATCTTTGGGATCACTGGCAATTTTTTATTCATATTGTGATACTCTTGTGTAAATATAGTCCAATCTTGAGTGAAACATTCGTTTAAACCGGCTATCCCGTTCCAGCGTCAATTTAGCCCTCTCGAAAAAGTGTCTTCTGCTTGCTGCAGCAACTTTTTTCGCGGCTACCAGTCACCCACCCATCGTCAGTTGAGCGCTATCGAGCCATAATTAGCTGTCTTGCATTCCATTTACGATTAGAACCGCTCAAGCATAGATTTCTCTCCTTACCTAACCATAAGTGGGCTTAAATGTTTTTGGGATCCTCGAGGGCAAGAAGTTTTCAATCTCAAAACCCCTTGAGTGAGTGCCAAAAGCCAAGAAAAAAACCGACCTTATGTGTAGATTTCCGATTTGAAGGTAGATTGAGTCAACCTCGTACGCCTTTGCAAGGTCGGCAGCTGTCGTGTCAAGTGAGATCGTCGCCAGCGCACTTCGATCACCTTCCGGTGAGAAAAGACGAATTCGACCGTTTGTTGATGAAAGTATCGTAGTATTCTAAAATCAAAATCGTACAAAATTGATCAAGTAAAACTACAAGATAAGCATGTGGATCTTTTCGGCGGTGGAAAGTGCGAACTCCTACTTCTATACAAGTATTTGAACTAAAGAAGATTATCCTCGTAGATTTTGCTAGAGGAGAGGACCTCAAATAAGATCTTCCTGAGGAAAACTCTTGTCACTCTGTTCATGCTACTGCGTGCTCTGTGAGGACCAGTTGTGCGAAGGCAGTCACGGCAGCATCACCCTACCTTAGATTTACAACCTCAAACACTTTCAACAGTTTTTTGGATCTGATAAAAACCTCGGATCCTTGAAATCATTGACAGCACATAATTTTCAAGCTCAAGTCTAACAATTTTTCCGTGCCTTCTGCACTTCATAAAACTGAAACCGCACCCCACAGGTGGCTGTTGAAGTTAGATGTAGCAGACCAGACTTTGATGCAGTGCACCTGCGGTGCCGACAACTTTTGTGCGTGAATGGCCACAGAGTACCCAGTTCAAATATTGCGCCATATGCGGCCATTTCCTACGCGCAGGTGCTGCCCAAGTAAGAGCGCTTCATTCTCCAATCCACCAATTGTAGATAAAACTAGTAATACTGCTGCTGCTGTGGTTAGCCTTTCGCACGATTACTGGAAGGAAATCAGCAAGCTTTGATTGATGAAGCCAGTGTTCATCTAAGCGAGGTGTGGTGTAAGGGCCCCCTGTACTGATCCCACAATACCGTGCCAAATATTTGTCACACTTTTATCGTACACACAACCTCTAAGCAAAGTTAAAGTTAGTCTCGGCACTGCAGAACTATATATTGACCGTCGGATCTACTCGATTGTACATATAATTGAACCCTTGATTCGAGTGGAAAAGACAACTGCGGTATATTTATCGCGACAAAATCGTCGGAAATCCATAACTTGGTTCAAATTAATTTTTACGAAGTTGAAAGATGATACAGAAAAGAGGATGTTACAAGGATTTGAAACCATCGAAGGTCTGAAATTTAGTTTTATTCAAAGGATTTCCAATGAATCGCCGCGACGGAAAGACTGCAGCGAAACCGACGCATGCTCACGATTCGATAAGATTCGATTTTTTTTCTCAAAGTTTGTTTTTAGTATAAAAAAAACCGGAATAATAAAAATGAACCAGAAATGAAAAAAACTAGCTAATCTATGGAAATCGTGGGAAGGCGACGATTTCGTCGCGATTTTTTCGCCAGAGTATTCAGTGAGAACCCACCCCTTCAATGAAAGTAAATTCTGCACATTTGGTGATTTTTCGAATTCTAAAAAAATAATCCAAATATCCAAGCTCGATCTGGTGAGAATCATTTTACACAAAATTGTAGAATCCCGGCTGTTTTGTCAATTTGATACGCCGCTGGCCTCTTCTCCACTTGAGTTGGGGGCTCAGTTGTGGTCTGCTTTCTATAATAGATTATCTTTGCATATTGTTCGAGTTTGAGGAGTGAGTTCACGAACAAAACCTAAGCTAACTGTCAACGTTTTGACAACATTAACATTGCGGTGTTTTTGTCGCATCTGAAATAAGCAGCTTTATAAAGTAAAAGAGGTATTTCTGCCGACATGCGGACCGTATAAGAGTAGTATAGATCCGGAAGTGAAATCAATTTTAAAAATGTTTCCATCACTTTTGTTTTTGTGTTTCATTTCACTTCTCTACGAGTATGTTGACCTCATTCGCGGCAAATAAAAATGTTACAATCAGGGCTTGGCACAGGTGGC